GGCACCAATGGAAGCCTTTTTCCTCAGACATTTTAATTTCTTAAAAACCACTTGCTTAAATAACTTTTTTTTCCAGCTGGTTCCTGGTTTTTACTTTATACCAGAGTATAAAGGTGTTAGGTTTTTTTTTAATACCATAGCATTTTTTGCTTTATACCACGTAAAGTTATTCATAAATACCAAACTCAGTACTGGCCTAATTCCTGACTATCTGTGACAGATACAGTCCGTGGTTTAGTGTGAGGTGTCCCTGTCCACGGCAGGGAGGTTGGAACTACATGATCTTAAGGTCCTTTCCAACCCTAACTAATAATAATTCTGTGATTCTAAGGCCTCTGCTAAAAAAATAACCTTACTGACAGCAACTCACCAGCATCAAAGCATCAGGATCTACTTTCAGTCACATTTCTGAATGCTGAAGTATCCATTTTAAAAACAGATTTAAGATAAACAAATTTCTAGGGAAAATCATCTTACAGCATAAAAACAAGAGTTTATAATAAGAAGTCTTCTAATAATTTAAATTTTTCAGATGGTCTATGCCTGCCAGAACAGCACATCTGCACCTGATAACAGGCAGCACTGTGGGGATACTCAGTAAAATGGTAAGCTGTTTTATTGTCTGAATAGTAAGAGATGCTCTTATTGTTACTCTTCCATATAGTAGCACGCATTAATCTGTAAATAAATAATATTTTTACACTACCTGGCTTCTCTGTATAAAACCTATAGTTATTACTGACTAAAATACATAATAGCAAAATACTTCTCTTGGTTGACTATAAAGTGTTTGTATTTCCATTAATTTGTACTTCCATTTCTATTTTTAAATGCCTATGAAACTTTATGTGAAGTTAAAAGTATGACTTCGTTATTTGTTATCTATACGTAAATTATTGGCAACAGAATAACTTGTGGCAAAAAACCTGGAAAAGCTTTCAAAGAGTTAAAAATTTAGGACTACATGCAATGCAGACAAATGTTCACGCAGATTTTGTATCAGTACAAGAAGTCGGTGCCAGACAAATAATCCATACTATTGACAATGCAGCTGGCAGCTGGTAGAAGCATGTGCTGCCACCGAGGATGCCATCAGGTGTCCAGGCAAGCTGCAGTTCAGCTGTATGCTCATTTTTGTTTACGACTTTATGCTTCAAAAACCTGCTTTATTTGCACATACTCAGTTAATGTAGAGTTAAAATTTTTAATTTCTACTATAATGATAGCAAATTACCTTTTCACATTTGAGTTCCATGCCTATAACTTACTTTTCATTTTTTTCTTTAATGTTTTCAGCTTTCTTTAGTGATCTTGAAAAAACAGTGTAATGCTCTATATTTCACACTCACTATATGCAACATGCAGGTAAGTATATCTCATCTTTTAAAGAACTTAGGGTCTCCAGACGAAAAGCAAATAGGAAAGGAAATACCTTCTCAAGCTCTGCAAAGCATCACCAGGAAAAATAAAAAAACTAAAAAATCCCTATGACTCTAGTATGAAATCTGAAAAGAACATTTTATCGAGAAAACTTACCCCTTGACCTGCTGCTCATTCTCTGGGGATGCAGCCCAGCACACAGGGGAGATCTGGGCTCAAGTGAGCACTGAAGCTGGGTCACGCGGAGTGTCTCGTCACCCAACACCAAGTCCTTCTCCTCAAGCCTGCTCCATCCAGTCTCCAGACTTTCTCATTTCTTTACCTGCGCTCCAGAGCACTAGCTTGTGTGCTTTGTAAATTAGCAGCAGGATCTTAGGGGCAAGTTGATAGACCACAGGTGCTCCCAGGGTAAAGCAGCAGTCCCCATAGTAGTGCTTGTGGCACTGCTGCATTGTTGGAGGTGCCCCGCTAGCCCCTCCCAGATAATGAAATAGTGAAGTCTCAGGATTGCAAAGTTAACATTTTACTGAACTTCAACTGATATGGAACAAATAGGCAACAATGGCTCAAGTATTCATTAACAAAACACCCCAAGATATTTCACGTACAGAGTCTTAATACAGTTTATATGGAAACAATTTGAAAAGCTGTAAAATATTCTCAAAGTCAGAAATGGAGACTCACAGCCTTGTTTTAAGCCTTCATGTTCCCAAATATTGTCCTCCCTTGACCAATTTCATATCCCTGCCCAAAAGGTGGTCATGGAATTGCTAGCCACATCCATCCCCCATCAGGTACAGAAACAAAAGACAGTAAAATTATAAAGAGAACTATAAAGTAGCCATAGGTCTTTGCATGAATCAACAATTACTATCTAGAACAACTGCTTGTCGCATTACTATTTTTAAAAACACAATAAACAAGCAAAGTTACAATATCAACACACTAACCCAATTTCTGTTTGAAACCTATTGAAGTAGGTTGCCTCCACCACTTGCCTGTATGTTTTACCCTTCCAAATTACCTGAATATCACTTTTTTTTTTTTTTGTCTGATAAATGGCAAGGTAGAGTGCAGAGTTAAAAGCGGTCAAGTGAGCTGTTTCAAATGACAGTGTAGAGCATAACTACAACTTAAAAGAAAATACGACTTCTGGTGCAGTTCTTCTCCCTCAAGTCCCAGCAAGACTGGAAACCAACCTCCTTAAACTGTGGTTTTTTTTCAGCCTAAAGGAAAGGGCTATTGACTCCCTTTCGACCATGCAATTTTTATATAAAATGTAGTGAAATTCATAGTTTTCACACAGAAGATGTGGACAATTGACTCTCCTCTATATTAATCATTTGCTTCAGGTTTGTGGTAGTGTAACCCCAACCAAGATGCCAGAATAGGCAATGTTTGTTTCTGAGTAAGCAGGCCAGTTTTGCAGGAAAGGCAATTGTTCAGTCAGAGGCCCTGCTTTTGTAGGCTCCCAGCATTCACTCAACTCAATGCTAGGCAGATTTACAGCACTATTTCGCAATACACATGGTGCAGGATGTACTTGCAATGCTTCAGAAATGCCCAGTGCAAATGAGCAAAACCTTCAATTAAGACCTTTGCAGTAGCTTGCCAGATCTGGTGATGACATGCAGTACCAGACCTCTGAAGCAGCACTAACCTCCAACTGCAACACATACGCAGCCTATAAATCAGAATGTTCATGTGAATGCTGGTCTATGCAAAAGGTAGGGGGGAAGTAAAATCAATTAATCGCCCTGAATCCCAGTTATAGAGTGACGGTAGTAGCAGTGATTACAACACATTGAAACAGCTGTAGCAGTATCATCATGTCCTGTAACAGCCAATATCAGATCCAGGCACGCGGGAGTACCAAACTGCCAAAATGTGCCCCAGTGTCATGAACAGCACGTTGTTTTAACCTCAACAGCCACTTCATTTCTAGGTTGAAAGCAAACCACCCAGTGGAGCTGCAGCATAACTGCCATGAATTTAACAGTCCCTGGGCACAACTGTGTGTACATGCTCAGGACAACATCCAGCCGTTAAACCCAGGTGGATGCAGCTCTAGACAGGAACCAAGAAGTCTTCTCTTCATTTTGCTATTTGAAATGTGAAGTTGAAAACAACTATACTAGTACAGGGGTCCTTAAAGTAAACACGGTCTCAAGAAAGTAACATAAACCACTGGCAAGCCACTTTGCTTGCTACTCACAACATCTTTGAACTCACAATTTAAGGCAAAAATTCCATTGCTTTCATTTACCTGAATACATGTTTTCTGGCAATAAAACATTTTCTTGTTTACAGCGATACATAACAGCTTTTTTCTTTTTTTTTAATGCTGGAGATAAAGTCTGCTAGCAATACTTGCAATTTGACAAAAGTCCAAAATCAGATTTCCCCATGTAATGCTTTGCTTTTCCATTGGCAGTGTTTTGAAAAGACAAACACAGTAAAACACAAAAGATTTTGCTCAATTGTGACCAAATAACCCATGAAGTAATATGATAAGGTAAGCGATGGTTTTACATCAAGCAATGGTTTTACATCAAAATAAACCAAAAAAACTGCATGAAATGTAAGTCTGTGCTGTTTGGTGATCACAGTATTTTATAGTTAAATACATCCATTCTTTGTTATATTCCTGGTATCCAGGACAAAAATCTTTAAAATATATTTCATGTAGCAATAGCTTCTTTGCATATCTCTCTTCAAAAATATTTTTTTGAATAATAATGATTATTCAGTTATAATTATTATCCCCAAATAATAGTATATAAATAGGTAACTTACATGTTTAATTTTATAATGTTGCCCAAAAACTATATATCTCTTTCATTTTTGTAAATTATCAACTTCCTCAATAGTATTAAAGCTGATAAACTATCGAAATGGAATGCTCTCATCTTCTATGACAGAAGTAGGAATCTTACAGGAAAAACCTATAGCAACACTTGTCAGTTGTTTTAACCTGAGTGTCTGGCCTACTTAGAGTAGCAGCTTTTTTTTTTTTTCTCATCACACATGCTCACATTCACACATTCTTGCACACACACAAGAGTAGAAGCATACACTTCCAGACACAAGTACTGTACACATAGGCCATGTAGTGCTTCCACAAAGTGGAAAGCAATGTAGCTAATAATTTAGCTACACTAAATATACCCAATCAAATACATTAAGGCAATCACCGCAAAGGTGGGTTTAAGTTGCAGGGGTGAGTTTCTGTTGTAACAAAATGGGCCATATACAGCACATACACATGCTTCTTTAACCCTCCAAAACAATGTGATTTCTTTTTTAAAAGTATTTTGTGCAAATTTCTAAACCTTCTACCCTTTAAGGCAAAGAGTTTCCATTAACAACAAGGTCAGAACCCAGCCTTACATTTGCCCCAAAACAATTCAATTTGCTACAATATTTTCTTATAATGTGCAGAACTTCATAGTAGAGGTACTGGTTCCCCAGCATCTACTGATAAAATTATTTAAAATAAACAAACATAAATCTTGAAGAAAAGAAGGGACCAGAAAAAGCAGCTTCATTATACGCGTATAGGTACAACTACTAGTGAGACTTGCTTAATGCAGAAGTTTGATTCTATTTTTTAGAATCTTAGATTTTACATAAATAAGCTTTGGTTCATTCACATGTCCTGATCAAAGCAGAAGACTAGTTGTCATCATTAGGCTTGAGTTCATCAAATTCCACAATCAGTCTCTTAATATGAGACAGCTTGCTGTGGAGATACTCGCATCTCCTCTTCTGTTCATGGTAGCTGGGATGAGACTGTAAAGATAAAATGAAAATTAGGACACAAAAACACTTCTGCAGAAGAGTTCAGTATTTCATGTCCTTTGCTTAAAAATAGACTTGTGCCAGTCTCAGTGACTACCACATCCCACAAGTCTGCTGTTACACATACCTGTGCTAATGCCTGGTACTCTTCTATAACTTCTTCATGAAGTACCTTCAAATAAAAAGAAAATTAACAATATTTCACTACTAGCAGAAAATGTAAATTTACATAAAATACTAAAAATATACTCAGTTTCACCACCACTCTTCTGCATTGCAAAAAATAAACCCACAGCCCCCTGTATCACACTAGATCTGAAATTAAACCTGTAAATAGGCAACAAAAGGAGCATGTGTTTCAAGATGCCCTTTCAGAAGTTGCTCACACAGTTGTCTGTGTTCACAGACAGCTCAAACAGGTGGAGTTTGAGGGCTGAACAGCTTTTCGCAGAGTTTTCTCAAGTGTCAAAACCTAGAGCTAATCCACGCAGGGTCAGAGCACATATGCAAATTCTTCGAGTTTTCCCTTTGTCTGTTTGCACAGAACAAGGGTTTTTAAAATACTCAAAAATGCATGCGCAATCTGGCCAACAAATAAAAGCCAATCAAAATCCTCAGTGCACACAAAACTGAAGAACTCTCATATTAAACATGTGGAATTTGTATGTCCAAACCAGAGCAGTCCAGGCTGGAGATCCAGAATATCAGATTTTTAAATTCCTTTTCTGCTAAAATCATAGCTAGGACCAGCTACCTGTAAGATGGGTAAGTTGTGGATACAGATTTAGATAAATCTCTAAAATCATGGGGAAGAGAGGGTCAAGGAAAGCTCTGGGATTATGGATTATTCCAGTCTTCTTCCCCATCTGTCCAACAGCACACCCTCGCCTTGCCTGGATGCTGAGGTGGTCAGCAAAGTCTGAGCCAGTCTGGTAGTTCCAGCTCTGTTACCCAGTCTCAGACACTGAACCTGGCAAGTCTTTTAAAACTACATCTGTAAAATTTAATAGATATGAGGGATCTGCCTGTGTTGAAAATGTGGACTTTTGGAAGGGATAAGAGGGAGATGAAACACTTTTATCCTCCTTTACCTGATATTTTTTGGACCCTGGAGGAAGGTGTTTCTGTTGTTCATCAAACCTCATGAATCTCTTAGTGATACTCTCTATCCAAGCATGCAAAATCCTGTATTCACCATACTCTGCATAGAAGTCTTCCTTGTAACTCTCGCATTGCTCTTTTGAGATGATAGCTGTGTATTTCCTAATGGAAAAACAAGCACACATGAAATTTTCCCCCAAGTACGTAGTGAATATCAAGTCTAGATACCCAAGATTTAAGTCAGTTAACTGACTGCTTCTATGTGTAAGCACACATGCTCCAAGATAATTTATTTAGGTAATTGTAGAAATCTATCATATTTTTGTGACATTTGCTAATATTTTACTTTATTCAGAAGCTACACAAAGTGTAGCACATTTACAAAACATTAGCAGTCATTCAAATATAGAATGACTAATAAATGCACCAGCTTCAGTTAAAGAAAAGAAACTGCTAGATTATAATCTCTTTCTATGAAGGTTAATTAAGTTACATTTACTTTTGAAAATTCATTTAATTACATTTTTCATTTTTGTAAGGGATTTGATTTAAGGAGTTGGATGCACTTAGATTTTTGGCTACATTTGTGCTTATAAGTAACAGTAAAGCATAGCTAATGATAAAATCTGATTATTTTATTGAACACCAGTTCCACTGCTTCCATTTAACTAAGGCACTTAGTGAAATCTGAATGAAAACTTGATGAAATCTTGCATGAACCCTTTTTTCTTTTTGTTTTGTTTTGGTTGGTTGGGTTTTTGTAGGGTTGTTTTTTTTTTGCGGGGGGGGTGGTGGTGGTGGTGGTTTTGGTTTGTTGTTTTTGTTTTTTTTTTTTTTTTTTTTTACTTTTAGAAATGGCTATTGGCTTCCATTCTGGTGGAGCCCGTCCCTGCTCGTGGCTGAGGAGTTAGAAGTGGATGGTCTTTAAGTTCCCTTTCAACTCATACTATTCTATGATTCTACAATCCATCTTTAATATCAGATTATATCAAATAACCATATCCCTTACTCCTCAGTATCACTGTCCTCCACTGATTGAGAAACAGACAGCAAAAAGCTGAATCTGTTCACTTTCACCCAGCAGAGGCTGAGAATTAAATTTGAGTTCTCAGACTAAAATATGAAGTACTAAACTGCTTCTCTGCAGTGCCAGACTTTCTTTCAATCTTTCCAAGGAGCATCACTAACTGTATTAAATATGAAACAGGATGCTACCATGCTGTCTCCTACCATGCTGTCTACCTTAAAGCAGACAAAAAATGCAGCGAAGTTCAAGTTCTATAGAGAGGCCTCACCTCCCTTGCTGATGTGATGTTACGCCTCTGAGAGAAGCTGGTGAACCTGGCAATTCAGAGTGTTTTAGGAGACCAACAAAATTGTCCGCCCTTCTCTGTACTGTAAATATGACAAGGGAATTCAATGCTCCTGCTTAGGCCCATTCTGTGCAATTGCACAACTGGGAAGTGTCAGACTTATCCTGGCTTTACCTATCATGGTGCTCATTTCAGCTCTGAGCATTGAAGGCCTGTCAAAAATTCAAACTAAGCCTTCCAAAGGAGAAAAGAGCTTTATATTGGCCCTCACTGTGCCAACTCCCTCTCCTCCCCACCTCCAAAAAAAAGAAAAAAAAAACAAAAAGCATTTCATAGAAATTCAGGTTCCACTGACCAAGTTATTCCATTGCAGCTTTCTTCAACTTTCATGTTTTTAAAAATGGTCACCCATAAAACAGTAGGGGAAAAGTTCAGACATTTGCATGGGAATTTGCAAAAGCTATTTCTCTGTTTTACAACAATAAAGAAGAATCCTCCTGACAGAGAAGTTTTAACATTCTAAAAATGCGTTTAGGCAATCAAATGATTCTGTTATTAGAGCTATTTCATTTAAAGCAAGTTCTTTAATACTTGTCATGAATAAAAATCTTTTTTTTACATAGGAGGTAAATTTTAACTTTCGGGAATGCTAATATGATGTGCGACAACTTGTTAAGGAGCTAAAATTAAACTTACTGCAATGTCCCTCCATAACTTTATAGACTGCATTGTACCAGTCGTTGTAGATATATAACATTTCACAGTCAAGTTTAATGCATTTTTACCTTGCTTTGTAGTAAAAATTAAGCAGCTTAAATTTAAAATCTGAATTGAGTTTTTTTTAATTTATTTTTCTTTAGCTTTGTGGTCGGCAATTCTGTGGTGAAATCTGGTATTTTGCTGTAGCTTCAAGTTAGTCAGTGGCCATTTTATATTAAAGCTTTAGTAAAACCTTTGATGGTTAACTCTCTTAAGATCATATACAGGCTTTGTCATGTTGGACTTTAAAGTTTGCCTTCTTCCCTCCCAACTTTTCCAGCTTAGGCACACTAAGCAGTAAAAACACAAAAAAGATGTTCAAATTTATGTATTGAGTATTTTAGTATTCAGCTTTCCTTCTGTACTGCCTCACTTCTTAAAAGAAAACAGTGCAGGTTCATATTCCTTTTTATTGTGTTCTTGAAGAAGAATTAAATTATATGTTTTGTCTTCTAAAATATGTTAAAAATTCTTTTCAGCACTTCTATTCCCCCACAGTAATTAAGGGATGACAACCTCAGAGCTTAAAACTCACAGATACTCAAGCAAAGTAGTAGGGTGACTTAAAGGAGCTTGTTATTATTCTAAAATTACATTTTGGTAATTTTTCAATTTTGTAGCTAAATGAGAGCTTTTATAGGTGACTTTTCAGCTGCTTCCATGAATGGCAAGAGAGTTAATTGATTTTACTCACGTTAAGTAGTCTGGTTGTTCAGTTGTCGGGAAAGGAGGATATGTGGAGGCAGTGAGAGTTTCTTGAACTCCTACAGAAAAGCAGAATATGACACTTGTGGTAAGCAGATTTTTAATATTGCCAAACAGTACCAACCTGATGGGCCTGAAAAAAACCTTTACAGCTTTATTCTCACAGTGAATTACTTGGAATAAGCTCTATATGTTAATAATAGAGCCCATACAACCTTCTCCACAGTAGGCAGTACCACAGTTCAGAAAATGGCACAGCTACTTTGTTCTACAGGCTTTGTGCTATTGCAATATTAACCTGAGGTCAGCTATTCTTATTTGAAGACATGCAGCATCTGCAAAGCAATTCAAGTTATGTAGCAACAGATGTAGCTGCGCACAAGACAACAGCATGATATGTAAATATGTATGTGTCCTGGCTTCAGCTATAGCAGCCGTTTTTCTCCTTCTTAGCAGCTGGTGCAGTGTTGTGTTTTTGACTTTCAGCCTGGGAACGCTAATAACACCAATGTTTTTGGTTGCTGCTCAGTAATGTTTACTCCGACCAAGGAGTTCCTCAGTCTCATGCTCTGCCAGGGAGGGGAAGCCAGGAGGAAGCAGAGACAGGACACCTGATCCAAACTAGCCAAAGAGGTATTCCATACCGCAGCATGTCATGCCCACTATATAAACTGGGGGCAGTTACCTGGAAGGGATAGACTGCTGCTCAGGTCAGGCTGGGTATCAGTCGGCAGGTGGTGAGCAGTTGTATTCTCCTCCCTTGTTATTTCCCTTATCATTATTATTATTGGTGGTAGCAGCAGTGGTTTGTGTTACACCTTAGTTATCTCAACCTGTGGGAGTTACATTCTTTTGATTCTCCTCCCCACACCTCTGGGAGCCGGGGGAGGAAGAAGAATGGGAGTGTGTAAGCAAGTGGCTGCTTGGTTCCGAGTTACTGGCTGGGCTTAAACCACAACAGCCTGTATTTTTATATATACGTATATATCTATCTATCTCAACATCCAGGTTCCAGCAAGAAATACAGTAGAAAGCTAAAGTTCTTTTCATGCCATGTTTTTATCCCTTCATCCCTGCCAATTACAGATATCCAAAATTACATTTAATTTCAACACTCTTCTAAGCAGGAAAGTCAGTAGCATTGTATACGGGTTGCTGGCATTCAGGCTTCAACAACCTGCAATAAAGACTTGCTCCTCATTTACAGCAATACATGTTCCAAAGTTATTTGCCCTTGTAAACTGCTCTTCTGCTCTTTTAAATGTCCTTATGAAAGCATGATATACTTAATCTCTAATCCCTCTTTTTAAAGAAGTGTTTCAGGAGTACCCTGTCTTTTTGATAAATAAGAAAAATAGCTGCTGTAATGAAAAGTTAGTAGGAACAGGAAGGAACACTCAGTATCTTGGTAATATCTCTTTGCTTTACATGTGGGGTTTTCTGGCAAGCTTAAAAACCATATAATCCTTTGTACTCATGATTAACTTGCACTGACACTCTGTAAACACAGTGTTTCTGCTAAAGCTCAACCACTCTTGCCAATCTCTAAGGTACCTGAGCTTTAAGTCATTGGGAGAAAAAAACAGGCATCATGGAATGTTCCACTTGATTCTTCTGCTTTAATATTAAAATTATATGGTATAGCAGGAATATAAAAAGAAGTGTAAAAGTGGGAACAAATTTTGATGCAAATGCCAGCAATAATATTAATAGTCACAGTATGTACAATACAACTTATGCAGACAATTTTGCTCTGAGCATTTAATTTCAAAAAATTCAAGCGCATTTCAAAGCTTCGCTGTAAGCACCAACTTGAAATATAGTACAAACTTTTCCTTACCTAGCTGTTCAGAGTTTTGTTACTAGCTTCTGGAGAAAGATGCTCACATGTTCATGAATTCAAGCATGAATATTTTCAAAGCAACCTCAAGCCGTGTGGGCACTGTGTAGTATGTCCAGGGTTGATGTGAAAAGGCCATCTTAAGGTACCTTTATCTAGGAGTGCAACAACACTTTGAAGAGGCACCCTGCATACTCTACAGATGCCTCCTACCTGTGATAGGAAAGGGCTAAACCTTCTGATTTGTAAGCTAAACCTCTGAAATTAAACACACGTTTAACAAAGGAACTGAACTCCACCCTATTTTCTGTGTGCTTATGTGTTAAGAAATCATGTATTCTTTGTGTGTTTCTGTTTAACTTTTCAATGCCATTTTAAGTGTGCACCATTTCTACATCTTTTGAAGTAATAAATTCTGCAGCCAAGGTGGAAAGGAGCTTACAGCACAGTTCAAAGCAAAACTCTGCTAAAAGTACATGTCAGTTTATGCAGGTTTTAGACTTCCCATGAAATGGCAGAGTTTAATGAATATGATACACAGTGAAAGATATTTATGTCATAGAATCACAGAATCATAGTTAGGGTTGGAAATGACCTTAAGATCATCTAGTTCCAACCCCCCTGCCATGGCAGGGGTAGATCATGTCTGATCTACGTGTTTCAGTAAACTAGTATGCAGTAAATGTGTGACATGTTTTTATTTTCAGCATGCAGACTTTAAAACCTGCTGATGGAAAAAGAGTAAGTTTCAGTGAACTATCAGTGTTTTTCTAGTATCTAGCTCTTCCCTTTAACAAGTTTCTGCCCACCACAGCAATCCATTTAAGATTTCTTTGATTTAATGGTTTTTGTATTATGCTGTGAGAATTCTTAAAAATTACCTTAATTTTCAGTAAGAATCTTCATGACTATAAAGCTGGGATAACGGCAAAGCAAGTGAAAAAGTGACCACTCGTCTTTCCAGTCCCTAGATTTACTGGTGCTTTTCACCAGGGCTACCCATATAGTAGTTAGGAAAAGCAGTTTATTCACCTGAATCCAAACAGAAGGATTCTTCCAGCTTGACAGTTTCTTCTTTTCTAATGTCTTTCTCCTTCTTGCTCACACTCCCAGTGTCCTGCATTTTGCTTTTGTCCTTCTGTTTTTTTACTTTTTCAGGATTTTGGTACCAAATCGCATACTTCTCTCTTGCAGACTTGAGAGACTTCACCCGCACCACAGCTGGTGCTTGGGTACCCAAAGGAGTCTGAGAGGTGTATTTTTGTTGCTGGTTCTCACAGATGCTACTGTAATTTTGGCTGAAGCTGTCCACCAGCAAGTTGTTTGTCCCCCGACCATCAGAGGTGCTGGGGGAGCTGGAGCTGATGGTCTGAGGAAGGTTGTAAGTGGAAAGCAGTGGCTGAGGAGGAGGAGGAGTGGTGGCTGCAGGGGTTATAAGCAGTGGATGGGCAGTAGCGGCTTTCTCACTGGAGGCCTGCAAGTGGCCACTGCATGCTGGCTGGACTTGACTGTTCAGGTGAGATACCCTCTGCATCTCGTTTATCAGAGGATCAAAAAATTTGTAACTCAAAAGTGGTTTCTGTGATAATATAAAAAAATATTAAAAACATTATCAGAATTAGGTTTTGCTCCCATTCTGAAAAAGAAGTATTTCTGAGCAAGCAGTTGTTGAAAACACATCTTTTTTTTATCTATAAGTAGCTGTCAAACAAGGAATTACTGCACCTTATTACACTGTTTATTTCATTCTTAAGTTTCTAATCTTAGCAAGCTGTTTTTCAAATCTACAGCTACAAGGTTTTGGGAGAAAGATGCTCTTTTCTGCAGTTCTATCAAAGGGTTCACCAAGATGAGGAGGCTCAGTTTGTTTGTTTAGGTACTGATTTTCATTTGGACATACCAGGTTGAGAGTCAGCTTTTGCTGTCACACAGCCATATTATTTCCTGTATCAACCCCAAGAAGCAAGCAGCATTGTGCTTATCAGAGAGTGTGAAGTGCAAATCTGGTAAGAATAGGTAAAAGCCTGAGTTTTACTACAGCTGTCATTCAGCTGGTTCTCCAGCTGAAACATGTTTTTCTCTAGCAAGTACACACTGTTGATGTACAAGGGGCAGCTTTGACCAGGACTGCCAGCCAGTTGAAATAAATCCAGAATCTGTAGAGAGGCAGGTGTAAAGAGGTTGTTGGGACCTGCACCATTTAATGCCCTGACAGGAAGAAAGTTAGGGTTAAAAAGAGGTCTGCCATCCTTTTTCTATTTAAACGTATCATCTCAGTGGTAAAACACTTTCCATACTTCCCAACTTAGGGCTGTACGCTGCAAGCACTGAAACACAGTTTTAATCACAGAAGGCATCAAACTTTTCCTTAAAGTAATACTTTCTTTTATGCAGAGTTTTGCAAGCTTCTTCTGAAAGGGTTTGCGCTGTACTGTTGCATTGGCAGGAAAACAGGACATACACATTTAAGTCTGAAAAAGTTGGGGGAAGGCAGATGTAGTGCATGCTGATTCAGATCTGGCTTTTCACACCTGGGAAACCCTGAATCAAAAATGGGTGCTTAAATCATGCCTAGAGGGAGAAAAAAAAAAATAAATCCCTCCAAGTGGATTACTACTGTAATTTGTCCTTTCACTAGGCTTTCTTAAAATAGTAGCATAAGGATATAGTAGCCTACATTAGCACTGGGGTAGTTGGTGTCAGAGATCAAGGTGTGTTTACAAAATATCGTGCAGACCTAGGAATTGTTTATTTTTCTAAATAAACATTTAAGGTAATAAGCATTCTGAAACAGAGAACATTAAATATAGTAGTGCTCAGGCTATGTGACCTTTTTTGCAGCCTTTGACAGTACAACTATCTTAAAAAAAATAGTAATTCAATTAGAAATAAATGTTCCAGTTTTTCATGTGTTAAGAACAGCATCAGTGCTTCACATCACAGTTTTTACACCACTATAAAGTGTGATGTCTTAATACATTGTAAATAATGTTAAAAAAATAAAACAAAACAAAGTACCTGAGAAGTTGATGGAGCAGATGTGTTAGAAGTTACAGAAGACTCTGAATTGCTGGTGCTGGTGGCATTCTCAGATGGATTTAATTTTCTGCAATGACAACCCAACATTTCAGGTTATAAGGCAAAAAAAAAAAAATCTATGTTCTTTCATTACAGGGAGGACAGACATTCATTTCCCATTTTTTTAAATGGCTATTTTCCCTCCCTTAGAGACTGAACTTACCTAGAAAGTATTAACTCCAATGACTGTTTATCTATTTCACTGTATCCAGGCCAATCTTTCTGAATTTCTTTAAATAAATAACCCTTCAGAGAGAAAGTATTATCCTTTGGGTTCAGGTTGGCTACCTACAGGCAGACATTTAAGAAAATAAAAGTTCATTATACCTAAATGCAAGCTACAGAAAATAAGATTGGTACTGCAAAACTTGATCAAATCTCAAATCACACACCAGTTTGGGTTTTTTTCAGATGTGACAATCAAAGTAGCTTTCAGATAATGAGTGCCAATTTTAAAAAATGTGGTCAATTTGGTATGTAAAAATTTGGATGTCAGAAAATGCCAAACTGCTGCAAGCATGTATGAAACATACTCTATGAAAATCTCTCTCTGCACCATGTGTCTGGCTTTTTATCTTTAAAATATAATTAAGAATCAAGGCAAACTATGCCAAAAATTTAAATATTCACTGCATGAAATACATCAATAGGCCAAGGTTTTTATTTTCTTTTTTTTCCTTTTTAAGAACTGAAGTACACTATCTTCACATACAAATTCAGATTTCTCCAACTTCAGGAGGACACCTGCTGTTCCCTCTACACTGCTATACTATGATGGCAGAGCACAGACTACCTGGAACAATGCATGTCTTCCATCATTCCATTAATGACCACAGTATGTCATCATTTGTCTTAATATACAAAACTGCATCTCTTTCTCAAGTGCCTGAGTGACAAGAAACTATAGCTTTCTCCTGAACAGTTCTATGCGGTAACGAGCACTAAGCTTCTTCATTTATCCCATCAGTTTTAAGACATATCAAAGTTTTACGGACTGGGAAAAAGTAACTGCACTCATCTCTAACAAGTTGCATTTTGACAATGAGATTTAGTGCTAAAATGTTTAAGGAGGGGTGTACAGGCCCAAATGAACTTTTCTATTTTGGAGACACAGGGTTGATTACAGCAAAGTACGGCCATGAGAAGGTCGTGTGTATGCCTTGCTACCTTTGAAAATGAAATGGGTTTATATCTTCAAATAAAAAGTAACTCAAGAAGTTAAAATGAACTAGTAAAACCTTGAGACCATTTACAACTAAAGTGGTGGTTTAGACTTCTACACCCAATACCTGTTCAGACTTTTGAAGAAAACATCAAAGAAAAACAGTATCCTATCAATCTGCCCCATACAAAACACAGAATAACATATCAATACACCACCACTACCACTTGTCATGGCTTTGCTTATTTTTTTCCCTCCAAAACATGATAAATAATAATAATTCATGTCTATGTTCACATCTGCCTGTCCCCAGCTTAAAAAATAATTAAAAGTAACAAAGATACCCTGAAACCATAATTCACTTCTTAAAAACAGAACTGAAGGTGTATTCTAAAAGCAGGAAACCTGTGCATATTCGATCTTAGCAAGTTCAGGCTGCTGCTTTTAGATTTATACAAAAAGCCTCATTATTAAGCCGAGAGAAACTGAATAAAAAATTATTTCACACAGTTGAGAGAATGTAGTCAGTTTCTCTCAGTTAAGCAGCTAAGCAGTGCAAGTAAAGGAGAGAACAAAATAAGACATTAGGAGCAACAAAGCTAGAAACAGTTAATTATTGCCTGCCATTCTAGCAAAATCAAAACACTCCCCAGAACTTTTCATTCTTTTTTGCCTTTCCTTGCATGGACATGCAGTTTAGGGCATGTGTATAAAACAAGGAGCATTATGTACATTGTTTATTATTTTCTAATTTAAACATTGGAGTCACACAGCTCAAAATTACAATTATAAGACTAGCAGGAAGGAAAAACTGCTGGCACAAACTCCATGGTCTCACCTGCTGCAGGATAATTCCGAGGGAATTCTTGTCCTTTTGGTTTACACCATCTTTCTGCAAGCGAGCAAGTAACTCTGGTTTCTTGTAATTCTTCAGTGCCAGTAAGTGAATCACCCTGTCCCTGTATGGTCGCTGAGAAACAGCAGTTACTGTGCGAGTTTTCCGTATCATGTTTGCAGGGTTCATAGGAGTTGATCTCTTCCTGACAGGCACAAAATCTGGAATGCCTTCTGGTCCTCTTTTAACTGGTAGTCTTCTTCCTAAAGCAACAACAACAAAAAAAACCCACACAAACCCCCCCAAACATAAACAAGACAAGGAAGTTAATATTTACCACATAAACTCTGAAAATTGTATTTAGTTAGCATTTCAATATCTATTAGAATACAGGCAGTAAAGATGCATTGAGCTAGGCATTAACAAAGAAATATTCAATATTAAAAAAAGCTGGCAAATGAGCAATTGATTTGTACCTGTAGGAAGACAACTTGATTATATGGGTGGGGCTTTTATTATTTTTCCAGTTCATAAGCTCAAACTCTGAACACCCAAAACAAGGCATTCTTTTTAGATGAGTACTCTAAAGTATGATGCAAAGGTCTTCCATATAATTAAAAAGATTTCCTATTAATGTCTAGAGAGACCATGTCTACAGAATTAATTGCATCACTGCTTAAAGAAATTAATGACGCTTAGTGTTAATCACTTGAGTTACCGTAAGTTACACCACATTTTAAACTGAGATGTTGCCTTATTATTAAATAAAATCAGGTTTGTTGGGAACAACACAACAAAAATTTAATAGTTCCTGGCTCCAGGGCCAGCAAAGTTTTAAAACATGGCCTGCATAGTGCTTTGGATCAAACTCTATAAAAAAATAAAAAAATGTGTTTCACAAGAGAAGGCACAATTCAAGTACTTGCAAGTGATGCATCCAGAATTTAAAAATAATATCCACCAACCTGAATTTCAGTTTTCCAGAAAAAGACACAAACTTCTCTACCCTGTGTTTTTAAATAGCATTTGCTATCAGACAAAAAAAGGTTTCTCAGAATACTACAGAAAATCTTTGTAGTAAATATTGTTTCTAATCCAACAGAGGATGTAACACAAACCAGGTATTTTTCCAAAACCAAACATGAGGGATACTTGCTGAGTACTGGTGAGAAAATCCAGAGCTTGCTCTTTTCTATCAAACATAGAGACTGAGCTGTGCTTATGTACTTAGTACATGTCCCTAGGAATAGCAAAAATTTGTTCCATTTTTGCAGTGGAGGCCAAACCGTTATAACCTTTCCACCCTGCATGCTCCCTGGACTCTGCCCTTCTGGTTTTCAGGAGCAAACCTCATCATGCAAACACACATGGTTACATTTTTTAGAACAATATGAACTTGTTAGTTGTTTACTGAATGCATTACAAATGTTTTGACAAGTTAAATTCAGTGTAGGTACACAAAACCCTGGCACAGACAATAGTGTAAGCAGCATTCAAACAAAATACCTCTTTAAAGTCATGTCTCTGACTCACTTAATCACCCTGAAAACCCACCCTGAAAACATAACCAAACATTAATATGATTAACAACCCCAGTTCCAGTTCCTAATTTGTCCTGCATGAAGCATGTTGCAGTCATCCTTGTGACCTAACAACAACTAGACCTCTCCTACCTGAGAACCTCAAAGCCAGTCTGAAACAAAAGTACTCTAAATATTGTAACTGTCCTACTGCCAGTCTTCAGACCCAATTTATCTAATGTTAAATATTCACTTAAGATCTGTTTAAGCCACCGACAAGAATCATGCAGATGATTCAAGTGTCAAATAGAGCTTCCCCAGTGAGACATTCTGAAGTACATGAAAGTGGCACCTCTTGCATTGCCATTAACTAGCAGTTCAGAAACACAGTGGAAGCAGTCCCAGCTCCACATCCTGGTATCAACCTGTGCTGAGCTCCCTGGGTGTCAAGGATACACACACCTATTTTTGTATCTCCAAAAAGCTGTGACGACTCTGGTTAAAAACACTCTGGAGTACAGTGAGGAAGAGTAAGCATTGCACCACGACTCATCACTGATGTCTGTGCTGGCAGAGGACTGCAGACACATCCAGGGAGAGCCTGTGTTACTTAACAAAGACGGATGGGGGTGGTTCAGCTTGCTGCTGTGGGCAGGACCGCTGCTGCCTGTACCACTGAGTGCCTGTTAAGACAGATGCTTACCTTGTGTCTATCTGCAAGCTCCTCAGGGAAATGTTTTGTGGAAAACGATGAAATCCATGGGACAATGGCAACATTACCTCACTTTAACTTTTTAAACAACAACAAAAAAAATAAACAAAAAACCTAAACAAACAAACAAACCAAAACAACAACCAAAGCCATGGTCTTGTGGTAACAGTTACTTGTTAATCACCAAGACATAAAATAAATAAAACTTAATCAGCATTAGAAAGTGTGAAAAACAATGTTTTTCATATTAAACTTCTGAATTTGTATGAGACTTCCTGAATTTTGTTTGTGAGCTTTCTGTTTTGTTTTTTTTAGATTACAAATTAAGTTTAATGGTTTAGCACAATGTTTAGGTACTCACAAGTGCTGTTACAAAAAAATAAAACCAAAACCAAACAGTGGCTACTGAAGCAGCAAATTTAAGTGCATTGGATAGTGAAAACCCCTCACGTCAGTAGTCAAAATTTCAACCAGACAAGAAATATGGGGGCAAGGAAGGCCTGGCAGGCTTTCTGAGGGAAAATAAAGGCCAATGTCTAAACACAGCACTAGGACACTGCAACATAAGGGCAAGTTACCTACACTTGAGATCTCTAAACAAACCATCTTTCCCAAGGATACACTGAAAAGATGAATTACTGAGTTTGAAAACTTACAGATAAACTAGTAAAAAATGAAATACAACCATACCTAAAAATGGTCCACCAGGTTTAATAAACTTTGCACTTCGACTGCGTGCCTCCGCTTCCGCCTGGGCCATGCGCTCTCTGGTCTTCACATGGGAATCACTTGTTGCACATACTGTAATTTTATTCTGTATACTTCCCAGGCAACTGAGTTGGGAGAGTCCAGAACTACAAACACATTGAAAAAGGTTTAGCCCAAGCACTAGCTCAGATTTAGAAGTGTGGTTGCATCAGGAACTTCAAAACCTGCCTTAACAGGTGAAGAAAAACATTTTCCAGTTCTGACAGGTAGCTAGGGTGTAAATACATTTCGAATTGTCTCTACACACCCAAATTGTTTAACTGTCAGCGTAATTACAATCTCCTCATGTAAGTGTACTTGGGCAGACTCAGGGCTGTGCTGGTAATGGCTGCCATGACAATGGTGGGGACAGCTCAGGGAGTCACTCCAGTGCTTAAGTGTGCTTGTGCTCCTCTGAGGACTCACATTTGAGAAGAGGCACGGACAGCAAACCCTGTATGAGGCAAAGGATGGCAATGTCTCCTCGACAGCTTCAGGGCAGGTGCTAGGCTCCAGGAGGAGCTTCTGGAGGAGCACAGACCACCATGATCAGTCCAAGTGCACACTCAGAGCTCTCTTTAAACTGGCCTAACTACCATTGCTCGTAACAAGGACGCTGTGTGGCACCCACCACTGAACAGCTCTGACTAAGAAAAGGACACAAGCTTTAGCTAACCTGAAACACTTCAACCATCCTAAACTCCCCACCAAGGCTTCAAGAAGGGTCAAGAATCTCATTTCTCAACTTAGTTAATTTCTGAAAGTCACAAAGCTGGACTAAGCCAATGGCCAGTATTTCAGCCACAATTTTGTCCATAGCCTAGAGCTATGTATTCCTTGCTCTGAAATCACCACACGAACAACAATCAGAAAGATCCTTCTTGCCATAGAAAGCACAGCTTTTAGCCATTGCCCTCTTCCCTGAACATCCCTGACTTCACACTCTTTTTCACAACCTGAATTGCTGAGCATGGACTGTGACATGCAATCCTCCTCCTTGGCCTGTGCAATCCTCCTCCAAGCCAGTGTTGAAGGCAGAGCTGCCCCGAGCACAAAATTAGACTTGACACCCTGCAGAAGATGTTTCTGGTTTTATCTTTTCTTAAAAAAAAAACAAAACCAAACACAATCTGACTCTGCATGTAACACTACTCAAGTTTTGCATTAACATTGCAGTCACTTCGCACAAACTGAGAGCTGGCTACAAAGGACCTTGTAGTCAAACCACATTTGACTACCACAAACTACCAGAGTAAAAAAAACATTTGACAAACCACAAAACTACCTAGACATGTTATTCAGAATTATTCAGAGCTAAAGCAGCTCAAATTTAATCTTAAAAAATACAATTTAATTTAACTGAAGGTACTCCTTCCCAAAGAAGCAGGTGCCCTCAGAGATGCTTGGGAGAGTGTGCAGGACCTCTCATGCCTGACATGCACTTCTACCAGCTGCCTTGGCAGCTGTCTGGCTCCTTTCAGACACAGTGAAAACCCAAAAGAAAATCCCAAAAAAACCCACACTGCCCAAGCTCTCCCAAGTCTGCCACTAAACCATCTGGCTTTTTGCCAATCCCATCATCTAAGTGAGCTCATTGAAAGACTGTACTGCAGTAGAAAAGACCTAAAGCAAGGGGAAAAACAATGAGGATGAGGATGCTGAGAGATCTCCTGCGAGGCAAAGAGCTTATTAAATCAGCTCATTTTTTTTTTATTGCTCCTAAAGCCTGCTATCTATACAAATCTCAGCTTTGAAATTGAGGCTAGAAGCTCTCCTGTGACCAAGAACCTGAGCAGCACATTTTGGAGACCTGTGCTGGTATGCCTGCTTTTCATCCACTTTGCAAATCGATGCATGAACTCTCCCTGCAATGTGCTAATCAATCAAATTGAACAGTTATTCAGTGCCACTGTTACTAGACTAAACATAGTATTCTAGAAGCTGAGGCAAATAGTATTTTCTTTTCTTTTTAATAGATGTTAACACTGTTCAATTTGACTCAAAGCACCAGGACAAGGCACTGCTGTATTACATTTGGGTTCTGAAACACCATGGTCATACAGTTATGGGTAAGGCCACTAACTGATGTGGTTCTTAAAATAAGACAACCATCCATCATGGCCAGCATGCTAGCATGCTGCCAGCCATAATCACATTTATATATGGTTGTAGAATGGCTCTGGTCTAGCCTGGATGATGCTGAGCTCAAAATGCTTTCAAAAACAGCACCAGGAGGTTAGAAAGTTACTTTTCAAAGAGCAAAACCAAAAAGAATTCTATGTAAAAGCAAGTATTTATAATTAGTAAGAAATCATGCTATTGCTAGGAATTAATTTTCTACTGCAGCCCATCAGCAGAGAGTGCTTCTGTTAAAGGTTTTCTCTGTATGTTCAAAGCCACAGAATCTACTTAAATTTGCAATGAAAGAAAACATTAAGCAAAACTTACCCTGAGGCCTTTTGCTGGAACAGGTCAAAGCTTCCCTGAGAGTTATCTTTGCCAATATTTGACACTAAGAAGTTAAATGTATTCATTTCATTTGACTGATCAACTTTGGGAATTTTAATAAGCTAAAAGGAAAAAAAAAGTTTATGTAAAAACTTTAGTCTACACTTTTTTACTTGCGATTAACTAGGATCATAATTTTAAATGACAAACTGTGATTCAAAAGTTTTCTTATGATTTCAATCACATCCCTAAAAAGGCTGCTTTGGCACAATTCTCCCTCTGGAAGCAGCACTAGTTATGTGTCTGTCACAGCAGTAACTGCACTGCAAAAAAATGCCATCGATTAGCCTCTTAACTCAGCAAAGTGCCCAAGTAGCAAGCCATCCTTTCCCATTTAGTGGAATTAATACACACATGCTTAACTTTAAACACATGCACCCAAGTACAATTACATGGACCGAAGTTCAGCTGGCAGAACAGATGAGTGCAATTCACAGACCATACCAAACACTGCCCCAGCTTCGTGGTTTATTTGGTCCCAATGAAGCAGATATGGGAATTAGCTCCAAGAAGGGAAAAAAGCTCCAGCAACACCCAAATTACAAGAGTAAAACTACTTAAAAGTATAAAGGATGAATTTCAACTTCAATAGGAGTTAAAATTTTTCTTCTACTTACCTCTAGATGAAATTGTTTACATAAATGTAAAATATAAGTATTTCTGTAAGCTTAATCAGATGTAGTAACATTGGATTTCCCTGGCTGAACTAATGACTTAGTATAGAATTTGCTGCATTCCGCTGGAAGTTAAAAATTTAAGTATGAGGAGGCATTAAACTGATAATTTGCATAAGCCCATTTTTTAATCTGCTGCCATATAAAACAATACTGAAGCACAAAAAGCCTACTGCCATCCAACTACTTCGTTCTAAAGGTAAAACTAGCTGGCAATAAATCTAAAAAAAGAGCTGTTCTCCTGAAATCTGCTTGATTTTTTAATGGAATATTAAATAAGATGGACAAAGATATAAAAAAGCAGTATTTAACAGACTTTTAGAAATCTTTCAATATTTTGCTTGTGAGACTGGTTTTATAAACTTCAATGTAATTTGCACAATGCCCTACTACAACACAATTCCATTACCATTTATATTTTAATCATTAGTACTGGCAGAGCTTGTAACAGCTTGGGACAGTGACTGGACGTGAAAGAGAAAGGCAAGTCACCTGAACACCATATTCTCTTACTTAAGCTTGAAGTACTAGTATTCTTAAAAGTTCAATACATGCATTTTATATAAGAATGGAAATAAATTGGGAGAGTTACCAAACGCACAATCTCGGATTACATGTGCAGCTTTACCTTTTAATGATTATGAAAGTTACTACAGAGCAACTATAAACCTGAGATGACTACCCGGGCCTAAATGACGCTAAAATTCATCTACTTTCGACAAAATTTACTACCACTGATTGAATGTTTCAGTATAGTGGTTTTACTATAAACACTGCAGGTATGTATGCATGAATTTGACAATTTGAAATCAACCCACTGTAGCAGAGGTAGTGTCTTTTAGCCTGGTATACTTTCTGGAAAAACAGCTATCTACTATGATCAAGCCAAGGCTGCCCCTCAAGAAATACAGCTGAACAGAAGAAGCAGGTAAGTGTTGCTATGCATGCTGGGACTCATTCTCACAGCTTATTTTGAGTAAAACTTTATTTTTCATTGATCAGCCTGAAGAATGGCATGCACAGAAACATAGTGCATATATATCAGGCATTTCTGTACCCTCATATTCATATCTCAAATTCTGGAAGGTTGCTGTGGGTTGCTCAGAGTGCCTCAGTGTGTTTTGATGCAATAACGAGAAGGCAGAAGCGGCCTTGAAGCACACTTAAAAACATGTTTGTTGCTGTTCCACTGTCATCAGTGAGGTCCTACTTCTCCCAGATATAGAAAAAGACATTGATAAAGTATGAGAAAAACAAGTTTGCCTCCTTACCGGCAGATGCCTATGAAGCTTATCACCAACAATGACCTCCCAGGAGCAAACTCAAATGGAAACACTGAATGTTTTAAAGATTCCCTCACACACAGAGGCTGAAGATGATGAGGGAGCCATCTACTACCACCACTGTGACAGCTGTCTTTGCAGAAGCAAAGAAAGGGTTTAGAAATTTACTTTCATTCTCAAATTTTTATGATATATTTTGCTCAAACTTTGTAAGAACTAGAAGACCATTGCTCAGGCCTTTTCTAAAGGAAATCCTGTAAGAAAGTGTCGTGGTCTAAACCCAGCCAGTCAGGAGTAAGGAGTAAGTTGGTACGGCATTCTCTTTAATTAAAAAAAAAAACAAACAAAAACATAGGATACATGAAACAAAAAGTGAAAGAACAGACATTCTGTAGAGGTTAAGTCTCAAAGTTTTTATGGGTTTGAAATTTGAGACTTCAGGACAAAATGGTAAAGTCTTCTTACTTCAAGCTGTTTGGAAACAAAAGAATGCAGAGAAGCACTTCTAAACCTTCACAAATGAAAATAAGTGACACAGGACAGTAGGCTACCAAGCCTATTTCAGAATCACAGAATGGTGTCCTTTTAACTGACTCACACACACACAAAAAAAAAAAAAAAAAAGGAAATCAAGACTTAAACACAGATGAACTCTGGTAAGCTCCAATCAAGCGTCTGTACAACCTGGGGAAAGCAAGGCAGAAGTGGGCATCACCAAAAGCATTGTTTGTGACACACAGAGGTACCCCATTCCTGCCTTATGCCTTTCACCCCATGACAGGGAAGTTTTCCTGGCAAAACTCAATGCTGCAGACCCTTCAGCATTATCAGTTTGATGTGCATGGAGAGTGGCATGTTGTGCCCTAAATGGCCCCCAGTGTCACATCTGGCCAGGTGGGAACACTTCAGAACAAATAGCGAGCAACTTGACCCTCTGCTGTCTACTCTAAAATGCTAGTTTAAATTCTATGTACTCAAACTGGTTGCAATTTCTTACCATCTAATGGATTTAGTAATAGAGAATAACCACTAGAACAATTCAGACTCTTGACTTTAATCCCTTCCTCTTAATAATTGATTTCTGGATCTATCATATTACCCTATCTTACTCTGACATACCATCCTCATTTGACTCTCTAATGTAGGAGCAGTTTTAATCATTTTCTCCAAAACCTCCTGTCCAGAATCACTCCAGTTTCTGCAGCTCTTAGCTTTTTGTACTTCTGTCCTTCTCTTTTCCATCATTCCTGCTTGTACTGTATGCTGTTACAGTATCCTCAATTCAGGCCAGATGTATTTTGCTTTCCAAGACTGATACAATCACAGAATGGTTCAGGTTGGAAAGAACCTTAAGATCATACAGTTCCAACCCTTTGCCACAGGCAGGGACACTTCACAATAAACCTTGCTGCCCAAGGTCCCATCCAACCTGCCCTTGAACACTGCCAGGGATGCGGCATTTACCGGTTCTTTGGGCAACCTGTTCCAGTGCCTCACCACCCTCACAGTAAAGAACTGCTTCCTTATACCTAATCTGAACTTCCCCTGTTTAAATTTGAACCCACCACCCCTTCTCCTATCACTACAGTCCCTAATGAAGAGTCCCTCTCCAGCATCCTTGTAGGCCCCCTTCAGATACTGGAAGGCTGCTATGACCTCTCCACACAACCTTCTCTTCTCCAGGCTGAACAGACCCAGCTTTCTCAGTCTGCCCCCTAGTGGCTTCCTATGGAATTTGCTCCAGCAGCTCCATGTCCTTACGTTGAGGACACCAGAACCGCACACAGTGCTCCAAGTCCGGTCTCAAGAACACAGTTGAGTCACCTAATCCCTTTCTAAACATATCTACCTACTCTCTCTTCTTGTTCGTCTATAGTACAGCATCATCTTATCAGATTGACATGAGCACTGTATTTTCAGGTGCCTCTGTTCAGCATACATGTTCAAGTACTCTCTCTCTCTCAGTCTCTCTCTTCTTTGTCTTTTCTCAGAATCATTTCAACCTTACCATCTCACCTTTTAAGGGTAAGATATGGTAGCTCACAAACCATACCCACACCAGCACCCACTTCACACTGTAAGCCTCTATATGGGGTTAAAGGAGGTAAAAATAAATATTTGCAGAGCCCTCCAATTTAGGGATGTGCATCATGGCAGGAGATCAAGGACATCACCAGCTACAGGTATAGCATATGCCTCGTAAATTCTGTCTAATAAATTTAGTTGGAAGTTGCAGGACATAACAGAGAAAGTTAAAAATAAAGGAGAGAAGCCACATCATGGAAACAGCAGTTGTCTGAAACATTATCACTACAGAAGTACACTGGACTATAAACAAACTTCATTTTTTATATATTTAAATGTATCCCTACTGCATTAAAAGTTAATTGCCAATAGTCACATTCCTCAGGGCTATTTTATCTAGCACAGCATAGCTGCTACATCCTCCAGGCAGCTTAGGTGTATGTACTCCAAAACTTTTAATTACAAGGTATTTCTTAAAAATTATGATGTAATAATCCATTTCTTGCAGTCCCTCTGTGTCCTTCAGGTATTTCAGCCAGCAGCAGACATTACCATCCAGACTGGGAGTGAGATATTTCCAAACATAAGAAAAGTTCTCCTTCCCAAAGACCACCCTGTGATCTCGTGTGAAAGTATTTTAACAGTCAGCAGCTCTTTTATTAATTCAGAAATCACAGGGTTCTTACCTATGTTTTGCGCAAACTGTTCCACGACAGTTTCAGTGGTTCTTGAGCTGAACTGCATCTAGAGGCTATCTATGCAGTACGGACAAATGATTTACTATCCTAAAGAATGCAAACCATCTTACTGCATTAGCAGATTTGCTGTTGTGCCTTCAGAGGCCATCTATATACTTCCATCAAGCTCCAGATTCCTTCAGAGCAACTCTACCATTCAACACAAAAAAATTAAGCTTGCTAGTGGGGTTCTTTTTTGGTTTTTTGTTGTGGAAAATTTTGTTAGTGGAAAGAGGGGTGACAACACTGAAAGTTAACAGCTGGCTCCTCAGCAGTCTTGTGGCCCCAAGATTGACACTTTTTCATAAAAGCCCCAGATTTTTTACAGCTGAGAAACAAAGCCTCCCCCAGCCTAGTAACATCTCAAACTTCACGTACTACTGCCTTGAAGCTGATACCAGAGAACATGGAAGAAAGCAGCACATGAACTTTGGCACAGAATAAGTGGGTGCAGGGCAGATAAAGCATACTGGTAATTTTTCCTTCACTTGCAGGACATCATGTCACCAGATAGATTCATTATTTCTACTCTGAGAGCTTATTTTGAATTCATCTCTTGCTCCATCCCTTGCAGCCCTCAGGCACCTGCTGCCATAAACAGCGGGTCAGGAAGCTGATCAGTGGAGCTGGACAGTCCATTCCACTTCCCAGCCAAATTAACAAACAACACAACTTTCCTCTTGATGGCAGCATAAATTCAGATAGATCTGTGTTCCCATCCACTCTCTCCTGGTGCTGCTATTTTGGCTGATGATTATCCACTCTAGCAAAGAAATTCTTTTACTAGTATAAATATTTGACAGTATAGTTTAAATTGCAAATAATCTACAATGGGAAAGGATCTTACAAGTGCAATGTTAAGAGACTTTCGTCTGCAGAAGTAGCTTTGTTATAGACACGATTCTCCCAACATCTGAGTACCCTTCAGCCAGACTGAGCTGGACTAGGGCTGTAGTTCCACATCTGTGGGCAGTCTTTAAAAATGAGTCTTTGACCATCCCTTAAAATTCAAATATTAAACCCAAAATCTTAAATCATTCTACTTGGAAAGCAGTCTGTATTTAATTTTACCTTCAGCCTTAGTTCTCCAATTTGCATCATTGCAAAACTGATTGTTTAACAGGACCTATGGCCTTTAGGAGGCCTCATTTCCTCATGTTTTCTTTCAACTTTTCAACAGGCTTGAAATACTGTCAGAGTTTCAGGACAGGGTCAAGAACAATCAGTAGTCTGTGGTATACAAACCCCTACCCCTCAGCACTGCTATTCTGCTTTACACCTTGAAACCAACCACTGAAAGTCCATTTTAAAATATTAAATTTGCCCTCCTTAGTTGACGACTTACAAGGTATTCCCATTGCTTTCAGATTTAGGCTAAAAAGTGAGAAAAGCAAGATAAAAAAGAAGCATATCTAAAGCATGATTCACTTTCAACTACACTGAATTAATAATTACTAAGAAAATATACAATGCAAAACATCTGGCACTAAGCAGATTTTACAAATATAGATTATTTAAAAAAAGCAAAAGTGGTTAAACTACACTGCATCTATTTTCCAATATCAGTACAAAATACTTACCCCTTGGGATCCTTGAAACTGAATTGAAGGCTGAGAAGAAACACAATCCTACGAGAAGAAAAGTAAGTAGAATGTAAGTAAACTGACAAAACTCCACACTCCAGCAGAGGGTTCTTTGTCTGCAGAGAGCGAAGGTGGATGCGCCCACAGCAAACTCTTCATGCTCCTACCATGATGCAGATCCCAGGGGCCAGGGCTCCAGCAGGGGCTCCAGGCTCCTCGCAGCACGCAGGGCTTCCCCCATATGGTGCCAAGGAGCACAAGAACTGATACTTTATCACCATCAGGGTACCACAGGGAGCCTAGAAAATGCTGTACAATGGTATCTGCTGGCACTGAAGGGAAAACCAATCCCTTCTCTGCCTGAAGTACCACTAATGTGGGAGTCCAAAATTATGTGCTTTCCCACTCTCAAACCCTGCCCTACTGACCCAGTTGCTTATGGACTGAGATGGCTTCGTTTCGGAAGAGACTATTCAATGACACATTTTCACATGTACTTGAGTTCTAGGTATCAGCTTAGATTACGTGATGAACACAAGCAACCTGTCTACTCAAAGGGTCTTGACAACAACAGCTTTCCTCGTCAAGACAACACACAGGGCCCTGTCACTTCCCACTGTCAAGATTACCTGCTCTTTGCTTAGATCCCCAGGTGTGGACCAGCAACGCCAAGGAGCACTTGCAACACTAGAAACCAAGCATCCTACTGCCTCCCAGCAGTGCAATCAGCCCAGCTGTCCTCAGGAAGGCAAGGAGTAGCCTCTTCTCCCTCACACTCTTAATTCACTAATTAACCTCAACAAGCATGTGTCTTAAAAATCAAACTGGCTCCCAAAAAAATCCTGAGCTCCCTCAAACAATCCTCACTTCTTCAGTACCTATCTGCCAAGCGAAATACACAACATGGCCAAAAATAATAAGAGACATTTGCACCTTGTCACTATGAAGTCTCTCAGCCTGCACCTGACCTGCAAGGATGGAAGAGTTCTTTACTACTGCTGTGCTGACACCACTGTCTGTGAAGATGTGCAAATGTTAAAGGAAAAACAAACAAAAAAAATAATCAAGGAGCTTGCTAGTTGGAAATGTCTTTTCTCTGTCACAAGCTGGCTTCTGGTCAGGTCTGCTCCTCGAAACAGACAAAACAGCAACACCACCAGTGCCAGCAGGAGCCTGCTGATAAGAATATCCCATTCTAGCAGCAATGCTGACTTTGCTCAGCACTACTGAATCCTGAAATTATGCTGCTGGACACAAAACCATGGTCAGCTATGCTGACAAGCTCAATTTGCTAGGCTTTGTCCATAACATGTTGCAGGGAGTTTGCCAGCCCACTGCAAACACTTAACCTAAACAAGTTGCACCAAAGGATGAAATCCTAATGAATAAAGACTTTATTCCAGCAAAAGCAAGTGTTTATGGATTTGGAGTTTAGGTGCCATTCAGAAGCACGCAGGATTGGGAAGTCGATTTAGATGGAACCCTGCCCTCTCTTCCTTCCAGCCAGATTCCTCCTCCTTCACTTGCACTTCTCTCACGCTTTTGCAATAAAATCTGTCTCACTCACCCAGCAGGAAACTCTCCACCCCACTGATCTTGGCAATGAGCTGGTGCTGCTTAGATAGGTACCAGCGAGTGCTGGAATGTACGACTAAGCCAAGTCTCAACACTGCCTAAGAGCATCACCTAGTGCCACAAAACCCTGGAGAGGGGCTCAGGAAGAAGTAATACCACTGGAGGGCTGGAGCTCCCACATGAATTGGCAGTAGGGTCTTTAGAAATGACTATGCTTGTTTTTCCACAATTGGAGGCTTATACATTTTCTCAAGATACACAGCAGCCAACAATAAGTACAACCTTAAACACTGAAATGGCTTGCTGAAAACTTTGTCTCCACAAACCTTCCAACTTACAGGCAGAAAGTTTTAGAAACGAGATGAGTTTGAGACTACTAATGTACCTGTCTGCTTAACCAGCACATCCCAAGTAAGCTAATTTTAAAAATTAGTGTTACACAAAGTCTGGCTAACAGGTGTGAATCCTAACCCTTGTCTGACATTTTCCAGAATGAAGTTTAACCTATGAAGGCAATTCACAAAACACTGAGCCAGACCCGCAATGCAATGATAAGCGTAGGACCACGCAGCAGCCATCACCGAAGCAGTGACTCACAGAATTTGACACAAACTGGGTTTTGAGCTGGAGCAACTGTGCTGGTGTAACCAGCCACCTCCCCTGCTTCAGTGAGAAAAAATGCCATTAAAAATACTCTGAATTTAGCAGGGCATCAAGCAGAAAGGTCCCACCTATGTGCTGAGAGATGGCCTGGAGCAGCAGGCTGCTGTGGCAGGGAGAGGGGCAGCCAAACCTTCTGTCACCTCTGGGTCTGACAAGCTGACAACCACCACAAGTTGTGGACCTGAGGAGGCGGATCTCAGGTTTCAGCACAGATGCAGGAAGCACTACTCCAAACCCCCATTCCCTCTGATCCCAAGATCACCCAGGTTTTCTGCATTTCTTTTCTCACAGCAAAGAGTATGAAGTTTTGGAGAAGCCAGAGACCAGAAGTCCCACCACTTTCCCATGCTCATTCCCCTCATACTTCCTCACCATCTGCCCTCATTAGGTGTTTTAGAGGCTGCAACCCTCATTAGCCCTGTACTGCATCCATTTATACACTTGCTGTCCACTAATTAGTTGAGTCCCTGTTCAGACCTTCTGATACTGCCCACTCCCAGCCTCCTATGATGGCAAGGTGCACAAGTCCACCATTCAACAGGTGAACAGACTCACTTGCTTTACTTTTTTCTGCCAGCTCCATCAGCTGCCCTCTTGCTCCAGTGCTGAAGATGTGGGCAATATCATTTTCTACCATCACCTTACCTACAATTCCCCGAGCCACAGTACCATATCTTTCATACCTCAGCCTTCATGGTCTCTCCTGCTACAGCTGAAGAGAGGAAGATAAGGACAGCTGTCTTTCCTTGCATCCCTCACAAACTAGGATTGTACAGGTGACTCAAAACGTGGGTTGACAGAGCACCCAAGAGCTTTGCAGAACACCAGTGACTCTCTCCATCACCCTTACGCAACTGCTCTTTATTTAGATAAGGAATAAGTTCTCCTACACAGGCCTGCTTAAAAATATTAGCTAGAGGTGTGACAGTCAGGTCGTATATCTCTCCTTAATTCAGGGGCCAAAAACTCAAGAGCTTCTCCAGGTCCACTGTTTTGCTTAAGTCTCTGTGCATACACATGGCACACTGCAAACAACTCAGATACTTACACGTCAACACCCCTGTACACGAAGCTACTTACTTACTGTTTTTCAGCCATGGTGACTCAGAGAAGCAGAAGATGCCTTCATATCAGCGCATTAAAGATTCTGATGTATTATAAAATTCTTCATGTGCTTTGATAATTTTTAAACAGCTATGTATTATGCAGGAGGAGGCTAGAAGAAGATACTGGAACTCCCTGGGAATGCCATCCTAAGGATTTCCCCACTCTCCCTCATCTTCCTATAAGCACCTTCTCTTCCCTTTCAGGGTTTCAGCCAATCAGTGAGCCAAAAAATGTTATTAGTCAGTTCAGAGTATCCCAAGTATCCACACAATTTATTATAGAGGTCTCGCAAGGAGAACTAAAAAGCGTTTGGATGGAAAGACTACCTGCACTGACAAAATCCATTAAATTACTACAAAGAATAGTACCGCTTCCATGGAGGATCCCTCCTTACATACACACTCCAGCAAGTGCATCCATCACATCATGCTTCTCACTGGCTGGAAAGACAGTGAGGTACCAAAGCAACCAGCCAAGCTGCACTTACTGAAGTTCTGGTAGCCAACTCTGACTTCCCAACATGTAATACATAAAAAAAAAAACCATGCTCTGGGTAGCAGAGCCATTTCATGGATATGGAGATGCAACAGGAACTTAGCCTCCTTTGGTGTTTCCATTCTGATTTTTTGAGCTTTGGAGTTAGTGTTTTGTTGGTTGTTTTAATTTTTGGTGTGTGGCTTTTTTCTTTTTTTAAATATGCAATGCCTCCCACACAGTATTCAGTAAGCAGGAAAACCCAAAACATTGAAAAGACCTTAGCAGCACCTCACAGAAACCAGTTCATTTATCCTATTCACCATGAGCAGGTTTAAATACCATTTTACAAGCAGTAAGAGATGATAACAATCTGTATTACCTGGTAGTTTTGGGTGTCAGATGTGAAAAAAACAAAGTTAAGATTTTCACTGAGACTTTTTGGCACTCAATATGCTTACCTGTAGCTTCTGGTTCCCTTCACTGTAGCCATGACCAGCATACAGCAGTGGCAGCCTACAAAGGGATCCTGCCAAAGGAAGCACTCAACCACCAAAACCAGACTGACAGCACTGGAACAACATAAGCAGAAGCAGCATGCACACGCAGCGCAGAATGGGCCTCCCTGGCACATCTCCATCTGTGCACCCCATCTCCTGGATCCACAGTACTGATATTGCAGCTCTGGGACCAGACAGGATCCCCCTTGGAAGAGGGAAAGAGGTGGCGTGCTGGCTAGAAAATGGGACTGCCCTTCCTAAGGAAGCTGACAAGTAGAACTACTTAGCTGAACTGGAAAATAAAGCTGTATTCTTGTTGCATGGCCATCAACAGCTTAACAGCCCATGGTGCCTGAAAGAGTTAAGTCTGGCTCCTTTCTTTACCCATTCCCTCCAGCACTTACCCATTCCTAAGGTGGGCAGGGGCTGCTTGGCCTTGCTTTTAGGGCAGGACCACAGGACATCCTTCCTGCAGGACACAGACACTGAAGCAGGGCAAGCCATCCCACACTTCTCTCAGTTCTCTCCAGAAGTGTGGCTGCAACTCTATCCTTCAGGGCAACACACAGCACTTAACCAAACTAAAGCCAAAGTATTGCTCCCTGCTACACAGAATACAAAAAGATTAGCTATGCTTTAAATTAATACTGCCACAGATGATATGCAAGGATCTTTAAGCATGCTGCTCGATACAGTCAAAGGAAGTCTAGGCAAGAATGCTCTCCATCCCCTGAAACCAGTCAGCCCCAGGCCAGACGATGGAGTGCATAAAGCAAGTATGGCATCAGAATTTCTCCTCACCTACAGAATGCTGCAGAGATCAGGCCTGCCCAAGAGATACAACCTCTATTCTGTATTTGTAAAGAAGGAGGTGAAGCTAATGTTTTTAATGTAAGAATTCAAGAGTGTTTCAAACTTTAACTGTCATACCAGCTAAGAAAATCCTGAGCAGCAGTAACAAGGAGTGCTTCATTCTTTATGCAGACTGTTTAAATTTGAACATTAAGCAATTAAGTATGCAGAAACTGATTACCTGCCCAGATTCTACAGGTGATGGTGATAAGTAGGTCATAGGAGGGTTATCCTGATTTCTCCCCTCTACAACTTTTTTTGATATTACCAGCATTATACAAATAAGATCTTCCAGCCCAGGACAGAGGCAGCAGTAGAGCTGTCTGCTACCTTCCACGTATTCCCTTTATCACATTCCTCAGTTTTCAGCAAGGCTGATTTTTACCCTTCATTGCAAATTTTTCAGTTGCACAGTCAGAACTGAAATGGGCCAGCAACGTAGCTGAGCATTAAGCTAGACAGAAGGAAGGTACCACCAGCTACAGACCATCAATCCTGTCCTCCTCTCGCACCAGGCAGATGTGTGAGCTAGCACATCACAACAAGACCTATTTAAAATTGAGACAACAGTTTCCTCTCCCTCCCTGATTCTTCCTCCTGATATGGATATTCTTGTCAAATACTAATAAAACAAGCCACAAAGCATCTGCAACAAGATAACTCTGCAATCACTTCCCGAGCAGCGCCACAGAAGGATTTTCTGCCAGTGCAAAAGTCAGAAATGCATGATTTGGATAAACAGTTTTAAAGATGACTCTTTCTAAACCCAGAAATTCTGGAAGCTAAAATAACAAAGCTCTAAGTTTATGTGTTCTATTATTCTTCCACCTTGCCACATTCTTCCACATGGCACATTCAAACTCCATTGTGAGTAGGTGAGGGAAAGCAGGCCTGGCAGGAAGAGTGGAGAGACTCATTTACAGTTCGGGAGAAGAAAAAATAGTGAAATAAGGAAAAGAATCTCAATTAATTTCTTGATCAGAATGACGACAAAGAGCTTGTTAGCCAGTTTGCAATTTCTAGATAACTGGGCATTGCATTATGCTTTTTTCATGGAAAATTACATTTAAGTGAGAAATTCATCCTTGTTTAGATAAAGCAAAAAAAAAACCAAAACCACAGGAAAGTAATTTTGTTTTCATAAATCAGAAATAAACATCTTCCAAGCTTATCTACCTGCCGTGAGGAAAGCAGTTTTTTTTTTTTTTTTTTTTTTTACAGTCAGCGTGCTTGAACATACAAAATCGCCCGGTGTCAAACTGCGACACCTATAATGTGTACGCGACCCCCGGGATTCACCTCTCCGCATCAGAGCGCCTGAACACCCAAGAAGAGGCGCTCAGCGCCCGTCGCCAGGTACATGCAGCCCCTCTCCGGACCACGGAACTCGCCCGTCCTCAATTAAAAGCTTTCGGTGAGTGGGGGGCATGCCGGCACCAAGGAAAGCGGCGGCGACTGCAACTACCAAGTACCTGAGTCACTTTTGGAAGCGGCGCGGGCTTCGAGCTTGTGGCAGCCCAGGAGAGGTGCGACCAACCTGCTGCGACAGCGCAGCGGCCCTTGTACCAAGGACTGCACGACGATGGAGTCCTTAGTTTTGGCCGGGAGGCGCGGGAGAGTGGGGCTGGAAGCTCGTCAAGTGCCACGGAAAGTGCAACACCCGCTGCCTTATACCGAGCGCCTTGGACCCGTCCCCCGGGGTGCTGCGCCCCGGGGAGCCCACGGAGCAGGAGCGGGGACCGAGCGAACGCTGCCCAGAGAAGGGAGCACAACACCTGCCCATGCACCACCGCGGGTCCTGCGAGAGGGACCTCGGAGGACAGGGGATGCACACCTCGAAACACCGAAGCGACACCCCTCTCCGTGGTGCAAACCAGCCAAGCACACACCCCCTCACCTTGCCGCTCCGGTACTCCTCCAGAGCTCGCATCGCGGATTCGGTCATTCTGATGGGCAGCACCGAGATACGGGGTGCCCTCTGCTCGCGGGACATGGTGTACTTCACCCCCTCCCGCAGCTCCGCCATCTTTAACGAGCCCCTCAACTTCTCCGACCGCTGCCACTACCGCGCTCACTGCCCATCCCAGGGCTACCGGACCGTCTGCGCGCAGCCGCGTACCGCGCACTAGCCCGGCAGGGCGTGGCCTCCTTATAAAGGCTAGGGAAGGGGCGGGCGCGTGGCGTCACTGAGGGGAGGTTCCACGGCGGCGGTGGAGGTGGTGGTCGGGGTGCCGGCGGTGCTCGTTCTGGCGGTTGTTCCACAGGGTGGCGGCGGTGGGGTTGCTGTCGGCTGTGGGGTGAGGGGTGAGGACTCGGCCCGGTCCCTGAGGACGCAGCAGCGCCCTCCACACCGGGTCTTGAGGTGGAGGACAGAGACCCGGGACAAGCTAACCCGGCCTTGGGAAGGTCAGCCGGTTCTGGGTCATTCACTGCAAGAAGGACGTCGAGATGCTGGAGTGGGTCCAGAGAAGAGCAATGGAGATGGTGAAGGGCCTGGAGCACAAGATGAGGAGCGGCTGAGAGAACTGGGGGGTTTAATCTGAAGAAGAGAAAGCTCAGGGGGTCTTACGGCTCTCTACAACTGCCTGAATGAAGGCTGTAGTGAGGTGGGGGTCAGTCTCCCAAGTAACAAGTTCAGGGGGAAACACTCTCAAGCTGTGCCATGGGAGATTTAGGTTGGAAAGGAATTTTTTTTTCTCCAAAAGGATGTTCAGGCATTGGAACAAGCTGCCCAGGGCAATGGTGAAGGCACCATCCCTGGAAGTGTTCACAAACCGTGTAGACAAGGGTCTTAGTGGTATGGTTTAATGATGACCTTGGCAGTGCTGGGGTAAAGGTTGGACTTGATCTTAAAGGTCTTTTCCAACCTGGTCAATTCTGTGATTCTACAAAACATCACAAAACTGTCGTGTGTATTTTGGGCATGCTACCTGTAGGGAGCCATGATGGTACCTCAGAGGTTGCCAGCTTCACCCACTGCACCACTATTGCTGATTACTGTTTTGTTTTGGACATAGTACTAGGTGTTTTGAAGCAGTTTTGTAGTGTGGATCGAGTGTTTCAGTAGGAAATTGCCCCATTTTATTGTCTCAGGAAAAGGAGCAGTTTAATATCACTGCACACATGTAGCCTTCTAGTGTAGGCCGGACGTAACTTAGAATGATAGCACAGAATAAACCAGGTTGAAAAGATCTTTAAGATCATGAAGTCCAACTGCTCCCCCAGCACTGCCAAGGCTACCACTAAACCATGTCACTAAGGACCTTGGCTACATGGTTTGTGAACACTTCAGGGACTGTGTGTCCCTGGGCAGCCTGTTCCAATACCTGATCAAAGGTATGTGGTCATTCATTTCATCTATTTAACAAAATCAGTCTGAGATTTCCTCCTTTCCCACCCCACAGTTTCCTAAAAAGAGGCAAGCCAGCAGCATCCAAAGGCTCTCATGTTCTCTGTAGAAGGAGCTGGCATGAAACAGTGATTGCTTTAGCCCTTGACCAAAATTACAGTCCTGCTGACTGCAGGTTGCCATTTAATCTTAACATGCATGGAAAGTACATGCATTTTAAAATAGTTTTATTTTCATTTTCCCACTATGCCATCTTTTCTACCATCCATTTCAGTCAGCAAGCACCAAAAAACCCATGTCCAGTCTTCACAGAGTTGGCATTTAAAAGTATACTATTTAAAATGTGTTCACTATTATCTTCCAAAGTACATTTTTCATGTCACAAATTAAACTCCTGTCTTTACCTTTAAGACTACATCCATATCTGCCCTGCTCTGGTCTCCTGGCTGACATGCTCAGATTATAATATGCTGTTTAGGTTTTCATCTCCACCAGTTTCGTTCTTTTCCTCCAATAATAGTTGCTCTTTCTTTTATACTGCCTTAAACCAAATTATCTTTCTGATATAGAATCATAGAACCATAGAATATTTAGGATTGGAAAGGACCTTAAGATCATCTAGTTTCAACCCCCCTGCCGTGGGCAGGGACAACTAAACCATGTCACCCAAGGCGCTGTCCACCCTGGACTTGAACACCGCCAGGGATGGAGCATTCACAACCTCCCTGGGCAACCCATTCCAGTGCCTCACCACCCCAATAGGAAAGAACTTCTTCCTTGTATCCAATCTAAACTTCCCCTGTTTAACACGTTACCCCTTGTCGTATCACTACAGTTCCTAATGAAGAGTCCCTCTCCAGCATCCCTATAGGCCCCCTTCAGATACTGGAAGGCTGCTATGAGGTCTCCACACAGCCTTCTCTTCTCCAGGCTGAACAGACCCAACTTCCTCAGCCTGTCTTCATACGGGAGGTGCTCCAGTCCCCTGATCATCCTCGTGGCCCTCCTCTGGACTTGTTCCAACAGTTCCATGTCCTCTTTATGTTGAGGACACCAGAACTGCACACAATACTCCAAGCAAGGTCTCTCGAAAGCAGAGTAGAGGGACAGGATCAGCCCCTTTGACTTGCTGGTCATGCTCCTTTTGATGCAGCCCAGGATACAGTTGGCTTTCTGGGCTGGGAGTCCACACTGAAGCCGGCTCATGTTCATTTTCTCATTGATTCAACACCCCAAATCCTCCTCCACAGGGCTACTCTGAATCTCCTCTCTGCCCAACCTGTAGCTGTGCCTGGGACTGCTCTGACTCAGGTGTAGGACCTTGCACTTGTCATGCTTAAACTTCATGAGGTTGGCATCAGCCCACCTCAGAAGCGTGTCGAGGTCCCTCTGGATGGCATTCCTTCCCTCCAGTGTATCAACTGAACCACACAGCTTGGTGTCATTGGCAAACTTGCTGAGGGCGCACTCAATCCCACTGTCCATGTCAGCAACAAAGATGTTGAGCAAGACTGGTGCCAACACCGATCCCTGAAGGACACCACGCGTTACTGGTCTCCAGCTGGACATTGAGCCATTGACCACAACTCTGCGTGCAGCCATCCAGCCAGTTCTTTATCTACCGAATGGCCCATCTATCAAATTGATATCTCTCCAATTCAGAGACAAGGATGTCGTGTGGGACAGTGTCGAACACTTTACACAAGTCCAGGTAGATGACATCAACCGCTCTACCCCTGTCCATCAGTTCTGTAGCCCCATCATAGAAGGCCACCAAATTGGTCAGGCAGGATTTCCCCTTAGTGAAGCCATGCTGGCTGTCACCAAGTACCTTGTTGTTTTCCATGTGCCTATATATATGCACACATCCTCATTTATGCATACATATATGTATATATGTACACGTAGATACATATGCACCATCGTATGACTCCCTTTCTTAAGGTAACTTCTTGATATATACCTGTTTAGCTTCACTTTTTTGGCCAAGCTAAGCAAAAATATTTAAAAAAAAACAACTGGAAGCTCATGGTAAAAGTCTCTTGACCATATATATGCATAATTCTATCCATACTATGTCATTTTTTATTTAGAGCGGGCTTAAGCAAGACATATAAATATTATACCCATAGGTGTGCCTATGCAGTGTTCTGTTGCAATCAAGATTGCCTGTTTCTTTGCAAGACTGATTCTCTGGAATGTGAATCTTTCTTAACATGACTGCTTTCTTATATAACATCTCGGGGACCATTAGGGTATGGAGAGCAGACATTAGTGACTTCTTCAAGATACCTTAATGTGTAGGTCTTGGTATTTTCACCAGGTCATAATATATGCAACAAGTGGTAATGCAAAATATGTACAAAAATAAAGACAAGAAAGTAGGAGGAAAAATGTTTGTGTGAGCTCTTTGAAGACAGTTGATGCTTTATTAACTCTGCGCATTTCTCTTCCATGTCCTCTTTTCCCTAAACACATTCTACCATTGCTCAGGCCTTGAGAGGGTTTTTTGGTCTTTGCTCTCATTTGCTTGTTTTGGGAGTGTGTGATGTGTATTGTAATTTTTTTCTGTATTTTCAGATACCACATGTGTGACAAACAGAATAGAGCGGTGTGCTTTTGATTTTGGGACTTTGCCACCCCTTTCCGCTCCAGTAAGTTTGACAGATCACGACAGGAAGAAGGTGGCAAAGCCTCTCCCCCACCAACAGTCCTAAGAAAGGAGAGACAACCTCATCCAAGAGACACATAGCCAGGAGCTGTAGTAAAACAAGCCAAAGGGTTATAGTGGAAAAATAAACACCTTCAGCAATGGCAAAAGCACAGCTTAATTTGTGCTCAGTTCACCGGCTTGCAGATTGTCTTTCTGCTGCTAGTTTTCCTTTGTGAGAACATGCAGAATGTAAATAATGTTTTGTGGGAAATGAAACATTTCTGGTCATTCACTTAATTTAGGAACTGGTCCAGCTCCTGTTATTATCAGGATCACAGTGGACAAGGATGCAATATGAGACTCACAAAAAAACCCAGTAGACTGCTTGCCAGGTTGACGGCAATACCACAGCTCTGTGGTTTTTCAAAGCACATTTGTAGGCCCTCTCCCTGAAAACAGCCCCAGAAGAAAACCTGGCATGCATCCCACTGCATGTTTTAATTAAAGGTGTGATTGCATGCTGAGCTACTTAAACTGGTGCAGCTTTGTAAGTAGTAGGTTCAGGCTAATTGACACAGGTCTCTTTCACAGTAAATTATTTAAACTTGCCTTGCAAAACTAAGTTAAGAACTTAGTTAACTGCTTTAGTGGCAAGTGATAAGTGAAATAATTTCTTCATGAACATAGATCGATATGGAAGAAGGCTTTTTGTTTTGTGTTTGTTTTTTATTCTTCAGTTGTTTAAAATGCAAATTCCAAATGAGCTTTAACATTTGTGCAGTTCCGGGATCTTCTTACAGATTTTTTTCAAACAGCATTCTGCAAGTGTCAAATTGAGGAATCTGATTTCATTTTAAAAAGCTTAAACTATTGCTCCTTTCTGATAGTTGCTTTGTAAAAGCAGAGGCTACTATCTCTATGTAAGGTTTGAGAGATTTTAGTTGTTTAAAGTGGAAAAGGAGAGCGTATGAAAGAAAGGAGCTGACTATACTGCTAGTTTTGTATACTATTTTCTCTTCCATAATCTACTTTGCCCTAGATGAGCTTCTTGAAAAAAGGAGCTGTAAAAGAAGCAGCTTGGTAGCTGGGC